TCAAATGTATGTGTCCTCCCGGTGTCACTGGTGATCGCTGCCAAGTTCGTAAGTATTCCACTTGCCTACGTTTGTTTGTTTTAATTAAAGTTTAATGTCTTTAATAGCTTGTGACTCGAGATCGTAATATTTACTACCGATATAATGACACATATGTTCCAGTTGAAAGGGGCTTTATAACATAACCAAAGTAAAGCGCGCGCTCTCATTGCTCAATTTAGCGCCCCCCATTTGCTTATGGGTGTACGCTGCTGACGTGAGTAAATGCAAAGACTATTTTCCGCGCGCGCTTGTTTTTTCTGGTCACGTAAGATTTGTTAAATAAAAGAAAACTCTTTAGCTACAATGTATCAATGTTATGTTATAAAACAAATGGTAAACACCACAGCGTACACTATTCAGTTATGGATGCACTTGGGAGGTTTGCTAAGCACTCAAGAAGATAGAGTCGCTCTCGGCTATAGCCTCGAGCGACTCTCACGCCACTTTCGGGCTTAGCAATCTCCCGCGTGCATCCATAACTCAATAGTGTACGCTGTGGTGTTCACCATTTGTTAATATTGAGACTTACTCATAGTGAGGATTGGTTTTGTCGCTGCATCTGTTATTTGGAAGGTATAGTCAAGTGAGTTTTCTCTAAGTGAAAATATGTTCTGTTTTTTTTTTGTTTTTTTTTTTTCCGAGTGTCACCAAAATAGTTGAATTTAGTCTGCAAGTTTTGTTGTGTATAAATGATTTAGGTGGAAATAGGTCAGGCGTCTTCACCGCATTTTTTATTCTAAATCCTACAAAGTAACAGTTTCTCAGCTTGTATCCTCTGCAATGATATTACGAAATGACTTGACATGACATGAATTCTTCTCCCTTCCTTTTTTAGGAACACATCGTAGAGCACACTGACATCCTCAAGCTGGCGAAACTCCCAGAATCCGCGGCAGCCTCTGAAGGACTTCAACCCAGTCCATCAAGCATCCTCAAGAACAGAATATCCCGGCATGCACTGATAGACTCGCCATTTAAGTCTAGTCCGTCCAGAGGTCTTAAGAACGTGCAGATGGCGCTGAGATTCGCTGCTGATGTCAAGCAATCGTAGCTGTAATTGAAGTGGTGCAGAGAAGTCTCCACTTGAGCAGCAACTGAGAATGTGAATTGTTCTTAGGCCAAACCTCGAGAAGTGTACCTCTGACGCAATCGTTTTTCAAAAAAGTTTTTGTCCTTCTGCCCACAAACCCTGCATAATATAATGGAGATCCCGACACTGAAATCATTTGTGCATTTCTCTTTAATTTATTGAGAAAAGTTCAGTGATCCCTCAGAGGTGATTGGCGAGGGGAGAAATCAAACTGAAAGAATTTTGTGCTTTTGCATCAGGGGTTCGGAGGGGGGGGGGAGCGACAACTTTCCCGACTGCGTGGGCTGCTGGTCCCTAAAAATAGAGAAGGAAAGGGTGGGTAGTTTGTAAAAAAACTCACCAGTATTTTTGGAAATGACATAGAAATTGATAACTGATCATCAGCTTTGAATTCGAAGTTGATCTCTACCATTTCATAGCATTGAATCATTAACTTTTTCTACTGTTCTTTTCTCATATTTCTCCCTTTTTTATGAATGCGTTTTGTACGTACAGGGTATTGCATTCTCGTCTCAAGCAATTGTATAATGCTGGAAATTATATTTATTGTGTATGTATGCAAATTTTTTACTGTAATAAATTGATTTCTTATAGTAGCGTACCCTTTTTGTTCTGGTTTTTCTCTGTACGTCATGAAACTACTCTGCATTTTTTCCCTGCTCATTTCCTACCTTGCTGCCACAGATAGGGGGTACTTAGTATATAATATTAGCAGACACAGTCTTTTAAACAGCTGTGTTACCCTTCCCTTTGGCTGTTGTGTTATGGCCAAGGCCGTTTCATTTGTTGGTTGATAACTGGATTGTGTAATTAGAGAACATTAGCGCACGCACGTAAATTTTTATCCTGAAAACCGTTCAATGATCACGTAATGTACTATAAACTTAAGCTGAAGCTTTGTAATACCAAAGCACCATAAGGAAAGGAAGCACCTTGTCAAGGGGTGTTTAAGTTGAACACTTGGGAGAAATTTAGTAGTCGCATGCGTTGAAGAAAGATTCCTGGAAAACTCCTAGGCCAATTTGCTAAACCACCGTCCATCAAAATGTTCTTTAAATGTCCCGTTACTCAGGCTGTTTTAATTTATATCTTTCGTGTGGGTCCCGGGTCGTAGGTCAGGGGTCTCGGGTTGGGGTCACCGTTCGTGCGTCGCAGGCTTCTTAGGCAGGTAACGAGTCGTGGGCCGCGAGTCACAAGCTGGTGTGGAAGATGGCGGGCTACGGGTCGTAGCTCTCAGGTTACTTGTCATAGGTTAAAGCTGACGGGTCCTTGTCGACGGGTCACAGTATACTGTTAGATAATTCTTTATTTCAACGATGTCAAACAAGTTACGGTCATCGAGTAACGATTTTGCGACAACCAAAACGGTGTAAACAGAGAGTTAAAATAATTTGGGACCAAAACTGAGTTGTCGACTGTTTTACTTTCTTTTCCAAGTCACTTCTGATGAAATCCATACTGAAACAGACTAAGACTCAGAAAAGATGTCTACCTACAAATCTCTTGGGCTGCCGAGCAAAACTCGACACGAACTCTTGCACATTGTATTTTACCAATGCCCGAACTGTTTTCGCGGGCAATCAGTCGTTATGGACTCCTCTAATTACGAAGTGTGAAGAAGTCTGATCGATAAAACCGCAATTTCCAACAACAAAACCCGGATGCACTCTCAGTCAGAATTCATCAACGTGGGAGAAAAAAGGAGTTTTAACGTACATTTTCAACACATACCTGTTGCCAACGGTTGTGAATATTATGAAAATCATATATGTGAACTGCGGTTAAGGAAATGAGTATGAGAGAGATCTTCGCAGTAATGAACACTATTTGAGCAATAGTGAAAATAAGGCCTAAAAAAATACCCGAATTTTTTTTCAGGCCTCATTTTCACTACTGCTCAAAATAGTGTTCATTACTGCGAAGATCGCTCTCATACTCATATACCTATTGTGTTGCAAAATAGGTTCTGTTGTTATTCGATTACCTTCCATTTTTTTTTACAGCGTTGAAATGAACAATTACCAAACAGTAGCTCGAGACCAGTGACCCACCAACCGTGGTCTGCGTTTTTAGACCCATCGCCTGAAAATTTTTGCAGGTTTCGTCGACTATAATTGCTGGAGAAGTAGCCAGCATAGTTTTCTTCCAAGTTTGTTATCTTTACAAAGTTGTCTCCCACAGCACTGGTCTCAGATGTTCACTTCGATTGTCTTCTTCGATCTCAGTACGTTCGCTTAGTTTATGGTTCATCTCCTTTTTGTCACAAACAAGGATTAAAGTCAGTGCTGCTGCTGTTAACTCTACCACCGCAGCCAAGATGAAAGATGGCACATAAGTGTGGAGATGATCTGCCATAAAACCTGTTGATGGAAAAGAAAGAACAAATGATGAAGGAGTTTCGTCTGCCAGTTTCTACGGTGGCCTATCGGGGGACATGACACATTATTTTTATCGCGCGATAAATGATAGATTATCGCGCGATAAATGATAATCTATCGCGCGATAAATGGAAATTATCGCGCGATGAATGGAAATTATCGCGCGATGAATGGAAATTATCGCGCGATAAGTTGAAATTATCGCGCGATAAATAATAAATTATCGTGCGATAATTTTTATTATCGCGCGATAATATTTATTATCGCGCGATAATATTTATTATCGCGCGATAACTGGAAATGATCGCGCGATAAATGGAAATTATTGCGCAATAAATGGAAATTATCGCGCGATAAGTGGAAATTATCGCGCGATAAATAATAAATTATCGCGCGATAATTTATCATTTATCGCGCGATAATTTTTATTATTACATGACTTGGGCAGTCAGAGGGCCAATAACTAAAATCAACCAATCAAAATGCTCTATTGCCGGTCCAATATTCTCCAAGTATTGGACCACGCACTGTCCCGAATGTTCCCGAATGATACCGCACTTGTGTCCCTTTGAACTTCAGTCGTATAATAAATCTCTTATTAACCAAGCTTGCTTGGGACCGTACTGGAAGAACATCGGCCCTCGGTCTTTTTTGTACGGACTTCGCTGCGCTCGGTCCGTATTGTCAAGACCTCGGGCCAATATTCTCCCAGTATGGCCCTCGCGCTTGGTTAATAAGATATATTTATTATCGCGCAACAATTTTTATTATCGCGCGATAATATTTATTATCGTGCGATAACTTATCATTTATCACGTGATAGATGGAAACTTGTAAGGTCACGTAATCGGCTGTCACGCATGTTGTTTCCGTGGACGACAATNTCAATTCTTAATCGCTGGTGCATTTGGCGATAACCAATACTATTCCTGCATGGACAAATGCAACGGATTACCGGACAGAAGTTGACCTAGATGACATTGATGTGATTGATGGTGAATGCTGCGACTCAACAAGCCCCACAAATTCAGGTTGGAGGAATGCAGAGAATTGATTGATATAATTATGTAAGAGCAACAGTTGCAAGTGCCTTCAACTGTTCGTATGCGACTCTAGAAGCCTGTAACCTTTTCGTAGATCTGGTTTAACTCATCGACAACAGTTAGTTCAGTTCTTGTATGATGTTTTTTTCGAAGGGGAATGAATTACACCCGAAAACCTAGCCTCATGCGGTGTCCCTAATGCCACCCTCTCTTTGTGTGCGAGGCCTTTCTAGCAAAAGAGGACCGGCAGTTCTGGTGACACATGTGACAAAGTTACTGTGTTTACATTTCTGTGCGAAATAGAGGATACTTTAAAAGCCCATGAGCACTGTGTAACTACTCGTGTGCACGAAGTAATTTGACCTTATTCGGCCCGAGCTTTTTTTTCACCTTTTCAGACCGGGGAGGGAAGCGAATTCCGCCCCCTTCACCTCCGTAACTTCCAGAATATTTTAGCAATGACAAAGAAATTTAGAGGGCATATAGTATAGACTGGAAGATGAGCAAACTGATGAAAGTTTATTTCAAGGTTTTATTGTAACACAACAGTGTAAGTCATGCAATCATCAGAAAGTTATCACAAAATATAAATAAATAACACAAAATTTCCACGGGCTCGGACTTCGCAAAATCAAGGTTTACTATACTGATTCAAAGAGCTGTGTCGTAGTATTGCCACGTACTGCTAAATGATCTTTTTACATAAAAAAAAAAAGGAACTATTGACCTCAAAACAGCTCCTCAACTGTGGCAGTCATTGTCGCCCACGGAAACAACATGCGTGACAGCCGATTACGTGACCTTACAAGTTTCCATCTATCACGTGATAAATGATAAATTATCGCGCGAAAATAAATATTATCGCGCGATAATAAATATCATCGCGCGATAATTTATTATTTATCGCGCGATAATTTCCATTTATCGCGCGATAATCTCCACTAACCGCGTGATAATCTCCATTTATCGCGCGATAATATCCATTTATCGCGCGATAATTTTTCATTTATCGCGCGATAATTTCCATTTATCGCGCGATCATCTATCATTTATCGCGCGATAAAAAAAATGTGTTATGTCCCCTATGGGCCACCGTAAGTTTCACCTTCTCAACCATACACACTTCTTGAAATCCCAGGGGTGGGTGGAGGGGGTCTAGAGTCAAGTTTTGCCCAGTATGCGAAGCTGGCCACTGACAGTCACTACCCTACTGTAGTCTATTCTGTGGTTACTTTTGGGCAGATGTAATTTTCGTGAATTTCAAAGTAGAGTGGTCATCGTAGCTTTTGAGTGAGACATGGCAACCTAGAAAAGCAGCTTTAATGATATAATAGACTTATATTGTTATAATACAGTTAACTATATTAGTTACCGGTAGTTTAGTTAGGCACAATAAGATATTTTATACTCTTAGATCATGTTGAAGGATTTTTTTTAACTGTGTATAAAAAAAATGATCTATCCGTCCATCTAGCTTATTACTACGAAGTACCTCCAACTCCCTCCCCCCAAGTTTGAAATATATAGCTTGCTTATATTGTGGCAATTCCCTCTCTCTCTGCTGACGAACCCACCTTCCTTTGTGTTTTTAACAGTTGTCCTTGCTTACCTAGGACAAACTATCTCAAACTAGGCAAACTGCCCCAAACTAGGCAAACTGCCCCAAACTAGGCAAACTACCACAAACTAAGCAATGCCAATGGATAGATGCAAATGTAAAGCAAGCCTTTACAGGAAAGAATACTAAACAGTGCCTTTCTATTATAATAAATAATCTCAACCTCTGCTTTACTGATTGCATCTAGCAATTTCTTGGAATTTGTTAAATTCATCCAAAAAAATGGGTGTGGTTGCAATTTTAAAATTCTGGATCAATCCACATTTCTGTGATTTCTGTTTTACCTACCTGCTAAGGGAGGCCCAGCTGCAGTCATTGTTCCATAGAAGATAGCACTTAAGCCAAAAGCAGATGCTCTTTTCCTAGGCTCTGTGTAATTACCTAGCATGCAAATGTTAAATGTGCCTATTTCAAATCCATCTGCCAAGCCATACAAGAAAGAAAATGCCATTAGATGCCCATAGTTTTTGGCCTGGATGAGCAAAATAACAGATGAGCCATCCAATATAAAACCAAGCATGAACACATGGAGGGGATTTATGGCCCGTATGTTACACAAGATTCCACTGAGCAGGCGGCCTAAGAATGTTGTGATACCAATGTAAATAAAAAGCCTTGAGGCAGCATCAGCTGAAACATGGAGGCCCTCTGAGAATCTCACCTGTAATTTGAATGGACAGGAACTCAAATAAAATTCTGCAATTTTTGGGCATTTAGCTAACCAAAAAGTTATTGTTTAATCCTGAACATTCTAATCAGAGATGCTATCTGACTGAAAATCTCTACCAGTACTGAGGAGCAAGGGCTGGGGAAAAATTAACCTGCATGCGGGCCCTCATTGTCAGTGCTGTAGGACAAGTGTTTCTCTGCCTGTATGAGTTAAAGGAGAGGTTTGAGAGGGGTCTGGCACTAACAATAGTGCTACACCTCTTCCAGACTTCTCACTGACTTGCCTTGCTCAACTTCAACTGACCTCATACTTCCTACAGACACTGAAAAGCTTGTGCCTAACTGCTGATAATGAGGGCCTTCTTGCAGGCTAGTAATTTTATGAGCAACGTACCAGGTGTAACCTTGGGGCGTGGTGCCCTATAAAGGCTACTGACATTGAAAGTGTTAGAACTACAAACACCTTGTCCTTAAAGACAGAGAAGTCTATCCACTTGTTGCATATTTCTATTCTTCTTCCTTCCTCTTCATCCAAGTCTTCAAGTCTCTCACTTTCTTTCTCAGCTGCATTTTTCTCCTTCTTTGCTAAAGCTGGACTAAATGTGAGACCAAGAATGCAAACAGCTGAATAAATAGCAGCAGTTAGACGATAAGTTTTCCTCCAATCAAAGGAGTCCAACAAACCTTGAAGAACTGGTGCTATGCCAAGAACACCGAGGCCTGTTCCTGATGCAAGAATGCCAGTTGCTAAAGATCGGTTCCTTTTGAAGTACTGTGATGTTACCGCATAAGATGAGACAAAAATGCAACTGCTTCCAAATCCAAACAGAACACTATAAGTCCCATACAAAACATAAATACTAGAAGCAAAAGAAGAGAGTAGCAAACCAATGGATCCTGATAAACCACCCAGCATGGCTGTTAAACGGCAGCCAAGACGATTCACTAACATGCTGGTCAAAGGTCCAAGGACAAATATGAAGGCTATTCCCACTGAGCCAACCCAAGCTGCATTAAAAAGTAAGGCAAACAGAAAATTGTTAATAGAAATTTTTCTTTCTAAAACAATATAAAACTGGTGGTGTGGAAAGGGAACTACTATAAATCTGTATAAACAAATTGTAGAGTGGGCTGTAATCAAGTGATGAAAAAATTTGCTCACAGTTTATGCTGGAGAAAATCACTTGGCTTTTAATTTCTCCCTACAGAGGTGTCACTGCTGAATCAAACATTATGGTCAAGGAATTATGTGATGGCCAACTAGAGAAGCTCTTGAAAGGTGATTAAATTCTTCATGTTAGCACCATAGGAAATGTGTAGAGAACAGTTAGGAGAATGTGCATGTACTTACATTAAGCACTATCATTAAAGTTAATACAAATTAGTGAGCTTATCAATAATCATCATCATCATCATCTTTATTTGCCTTATTTTAACAATTAAAAATAGTTAATTAGAGCGATAATAATAATAATAATAGTAATAATAATAATAGACTCAGATCAGAGGTGTTAATATCTGTCATTCCACATATAAAGAAATATTTTATGTATATTGAGACACATGTATGAAAAAAGTGCATAAATATAATGAAACTGAAGCTAGCAATGAAAATTAAGGTGATAACAATTTTAAAAATTACACAACAAAATTTTAACTAAGGCATATACATTTAAAAAAATTTGTTTCATGTACCACAGGTTACCCAAGCATACTGTGTGTGATTTTGGGGTCTAAAGGTTATTCACGGGAATACTTAACAAATTAAGATTGAATTTTAAAAATTCTTTCTCTTTGGCCACCGTTTTGTATGTTTCAACATACATCTTCAGAAGTGACAGTTAATAATACACGTGGCGACTAAGTTTAAATTTAAGATAGGTACCTAGTAATTAACAAAACAACAAACAAAAGTTGAGAAGAAAAAATTTGCATATACAAAGATGCAAACTAATACAGATAAAGCTTATCGCTGCTGACAAATCGTTTAGAGTGAGTTTAAGCTCTTGAATTAATAGTCTCCTTTATCTTGTAATGAGTATCAGAACACCCTTTTGCTAATATATCTCAAAGTAGTCCCATTTTATGTTGTGACCAGTTAACGTGATGTGGTCTGCGATAGCAGATGTATGACAGGCACTTGTGAGTCCTTTAAAATGTTCAGTTTTCCTGTCAAATATATTCTTCTCAACTTTTGTTCGTTGTTTTGTTAATTAGTTACTTATCTTAAATTTAAACTTAGTCGCCATGTGTATTATTAACTGTCACTTCTGAAGATGTATGTTGAAACATACGAAACGTCAAGTAAAGTTTACTAATCTTGTTTTCCAACATGCGTTTTGCTGTCATGTTTGTAACTGCAGTTTGTGTGCTATTTCTTATCAAGATTCAATTTATTATGTTATAATATTTATCATTTTATTATTATAATTGTAAAAAATAAAAAGGATAATAAAAGCGGGTGAGGAATGTAATGCTACTGAATAAAAGTAAGGAGACTTAACACATTACATTCCTCGCTTTTATTATCGTTTTTAATAACCTTTAGACCCCAAAATCACACACTACATGCTTGGGCCACCTGTGTATGCACATAGATATGCTAATTTATTAAGAACTGGATCATTGTATATTATGCAATTCAAGACTTTTTATTGGCTTAGCCTTTATGGTATATGAGCCAATATAGCTTAATCTAATATCTGTACATTGTAACATCCAGTTTCTTCTTTCAAAATAACGTCGAGAATATTTGTCTAATATCTTGGGGACGTTTTTTAATAAAACAATTATTCCCCTCGCGCGCTTGTTGGATATTACATGATTATAGCCAACTCAGCGCTACGCGCCTCATTGGCTTTCTATCATTTCATATCCAACACGCGCTTGTGGAATAATTGTGAGATATCACATGTACAACATGACAAAATCTAAGCAAGTGAACAAACGCATAAGAAAATATTAATTGCTTCTTCTAAACACGAAGTTACCTGTCCTTTCGCGTGACTCTTCAAAGTAGTCCATTAAAACTGGAAACAGAATTCCAAAGTTGAGCGAAATTCCAAACATTATGGCGATCATAACAACTGCACAGAAACAAACCAACCAAGACCAAGGACTGTCAATTTCTTTTCTACACATGCCGCGATTTTTTCCAGTTAAGAGCAATACGGCTGAGGTATAAAATTCAATTCGTCCATCATTCGAATTTTCACTTAAGTGAATGTTCTGATTAGAATCGCTGGGCAATTTAGTTGCCCAAGACAGAGGTTACCAGAGGTCTACGCTCTTATATGATATGAAATCGGAGTAATGTGTGACGTTCGACGACAATCGAGTAACAATATCAAACCTGGTTTAGATTTCCAATTTCTTATTTGTTAGACAAATTTTTGCCAAGTAATCTGTTCACGAGTTTTCCCCTCCCCCATCGATCACTACAGAAGATAACCAATATATAAAGCGTCAAGCTTTCGAGGTGGTATCTGAGCAACTGCGCACCTACCGGGCCCCTAAACTGGTGTTGAACTAGGGGAGGGGTAGGTACGTCAGATACTGATGTTGAAAGCTTCTTCTACTATGTATACCCCTCTAAAATTATTTTTGCTCAAATTTCTAAGCATGCGCATTGTTGCGTCATGAAGTAAACACTCCAAAGAAGATGGCGCAGGAGGCTGTGCTTCGAAAAACAGTTCCAGTTGACGGGAAAAATGATTCCCATTGCCCCAATAGCGTTATGCTTTTGCCAGAAAGACCAACAACCTTTGGAAGAATAATGTCTCTGGATGTAAGTGTACGTTTGACGTCAAAAACTGCACCGTTAATGATTTCTCGTCGACATGCCACTGTTTCTGTTTCGGCTGGCAAATGGACGATAGTGGATCATGAGGTAACGTAAGCTTTGGGGAATTAATCCTTCAAGTGTCGTTGGCTATAAATAAGGCATGATATTCCTTCAGATATGCTGCTAAATTTGAACACTTTCATACTACTGTGCAAGATTTTATTTAGTGCTAAGAGCGGGAAACCTTCCTACGTTCGAGTTAAAATTGCAGCGAGCGAGCGTTTCAACTTTTATGGTCGCAGTACGCTTGTTGTTGTGTTTTCGGTGATGAATATTCAATACCTCGAAGGAGTTGCAGCTGGTTGGATAACTCACAAAAGACCACCCTAAGTAAACTCGCACTTTCCATCACAGGTTTCTTGCGTGATTTTAAGAGAAATTTAAACAGCTGTTAGTGTCCTGGGTATTTGAGGGCTTTGTGAAACGGTCTTTAGCTCCGGGCTCTTGGGAAACCAACAGTGTGAAAATAACCTTTCGTTAGATTTACTTACGGGCGTTAATTTATTCAGTGTCGTGCAGGAGTTACATGTAAATACCTGCTACAGAATTAATTTTCCATCAAAATTTTTGTTTTGTTTTGTTTAGTTTCGTACGATTTTTAAATTAGATTTTCCCCATTGTACCAATGAAATTGTGATCAAGTTCTTTCTAGTGCTTTTGTTCTGTTTGATATTATCACAAGCATGCTGTAAAATATCAAAATGATTATCAGAAGAAAAAGGCCTTAAAGTTTGCTTCTACTGTATTAAAAAAAAAAGTGTTGTTGAAAGGTTCAAGTAGTGGTTTTGAAAGTGAGTACTTACAAGAATCTTGATGGCAATATGCCCACAAAGATTTTGTTTTTGACCAAATTGTGGGACAATTTTCTTTCCTCTGTTTAGTGTATTTATTGTTCACTATTGAAAAATACTGAAGGATATGTTGCCTAGTATTTCTCAGTTTTGATTATTAACAATAAGAGTTTCAGTGGTTGATTAGAGGTATGTGTAAATACAATTCAAAGAACTTTTAACATCAAAAAGGAAATGGAAGACTCAAGAAGGAATCATTGGGTGAATGCAACCCTCTTTGCCACACCCAACTGGTTGTCCAACACAGCTGATGTTACTGATATCACTGGTAACTTTCTCTGCAATTTAGTTTTAAAAATCCTCTCCTACTCGTTTTGGCGACCAAAGCAGTTACAGCTTGGGGGTTATCCCTGGTAGTCTTTAATAAGAACTCGAGTTAACTCAACCCGCCATTTCTAAAGCTATTTTTATTTTTGTCTTTCAGAGTTTGAATGGTGTGTTCATCAACAGAAACAGAATTCAACCAAGCATTCCTCATTTATTAGAGCCTGGTGATAAAGTGGTTTTTGGTGTGGGGGTAGACTCTAATACACCAGAATTTGAATACGTCTTTGAACATGTTACTAGAGGCCGTAAAAGGTGTGCAGACCCATCTCTGTTGAGTAACAAAGACAACTCGATTAAACAGAGGAAGGTCTTCAGAGAAGGTGGTGGCTATATAAATGTACCCTTCAACATAGATCATCCAGCTGTACATGAAGCCATTAGTGTTGCTGAGGAAAAGATACAAAAATTGAAGGCTTCATTAGAAGAAAAAGAGAAATGCCATGCAGATGTTGTTCTGCAGTTGGAAAAAACAGAGAAGGAGCTACAAACTAAGCTGCTAGATCAGAAGGCCAAATTAGAAAAAGAAAAACACAAGCTGGAAGGTGCTCTTAAGACACTGTTTGCAGAAAAGTTGATGGAGAAGGAAGAGCAACTCAATCAGGAGTTAAAAAGCCAAAAGGAAAGCTTGATAGAAGAAAAGAAACTTGTGGAAATGAGATTGCAGGAGGAATTGAAGAAGCAGCTAGAAGAAAAAGACAAACAGCTAGAAAATCAGTTGACTCAACAGAAAGAAGCACTGGAGCAAGTGATTGCTGAGAAAGAAGCCCAGCAGAACATGCTACACATGGAATTGGAGAATTACAAAGCTTCCCAGGCTAGATTGCAAGACTTGGAGGCAAATGAGAGAAGAATGGAATCCACTTTGCAGGAGCTTCGACAAATTGTAGAATCAAAAAACAAAGAGCTTCTGAAACAACAAGAAGAGACAAAGAGAGTGGAGGAAGTTGCAAGGAAAACAGTCATAGAGCAGATGGAGGATGAGTTTACTTGTATAATTTGTCAAGACCTTTTCATTAACTCTACTACATTACCTTGCGCCCATTCCTTCTGTGAATACTGCTTGACATCATGGCTTAAGAAGAAGAACAACTGTCCCATTTGCCGTCAACCCATATTGGGAAGACCAGTCAGGTCTCTTGTTCTTGATAACGCCATTGGCAAAATGGTGGAATCTATGGATGAGGAGACCAAGACAAGGCGGCAGACAGTCACTCAGGAAAGGGAGGAGTTGAAAAGAGGTAATAATCTACAAAATGAAGTGATCTTCATTGATGGCTAAGTGAGGCTGTGAAACCGTGCAAACTCCTTGTCTACAGGTGACCTTGTCTTATGACCAGGTGACCAGATATAGTTGTTTGATAAGATCTGTGCCAACTGTGAGGGAGAAAATAATGATCCATCTGATCCCGAAAGAGAAAAAATACATCTTGCTGATAAAGTGATTTCTTTGCAATGGCACAGCAAAATTAAGACAGGTGTCTTTGCAGTGAAGTGTCCTTACTTACTCGAGGAACAAGGAGAATGAAAAGTCTGTGTAATTGTGTTTACCTCATCATAGGATTCCTACCAAATAGGGATGTCCCTAATGTCCATTTGTCGAACCAGTCAAAGTGTGCGTACATATTTATGGGAACCATTGCCTAACTCATTACTGGTAATTATCTGCGATTGTGTTCCCCAGCAAAACTCTCCAAAAAGGAAGTACTAAAGTCTATAAGCAACAGATTTATGCTTGTGAGAATCAAATATGTTATTAACTTACTGTCTTCAAAATGAAAAGTCAAACTTGTAGTTTTGTTGACGAAGTCAGAACCCTTCAGGAAACAAAGAGGTAGCAGATATCCCCAAGGGGCAAATACATTTTGAGGCTTAGTGAGAAAATATGATCACAAGCATTTGAATTTGCTGAAGAAGACACAACTATTCTGCTATGGCTTAATTTCCTACTCTCAGTCCCACAGTAGATGTAACTGAAGATTTTTATCAAAGTGAATGTTTGCCTGCTGAAAGCTTGATCCTTTCTAGATATCTTTCAGTGTCGGTAAGTGACGCATGTTAGATATTCAAACTTGTAGACTGCTGAAGAAGAGGACGGTCATTTTAATTTGTCCCTATCCATTCACCTATTTATTCAATAAAACCATCCTTTTTAAATAAAACTTTTTTTATGCAACGTGCCAAATGGCCACCCCAAAAAGGTGAAAAATTCTATTTCAAATCCTAGTGACACTTTTTTTCACCCCTGTGCACAAACTATGTGAAATTTTACATCCTCCCTGTCACAAAGGTAGTAAATTGATTGGATTAGAAATATTGATTGTCACATCTCTATTTAGGTGGTCCTAAAAGTAATTTGCACAGATTATAAAGTAACACTGGTCAGGGGTAAAAAAATGGCCATGTTTTTTTTAAGGCTATTTTAAGTACAATACACAGTGTTCATCAGATCAGCTGGGGAAGATTAGACAATCCTTGGCATTAGCTACTTTGTATTCAGTTTGGACAATATGACAATATGGTCACTAAAGAGCCATGTTCCAGAAGAGGAATTAAAGCAAAGAGAAAAAAGGGAAAAAATTGGTGGTTATCTATTTCTTTGTTTTTCCTCTAGTCAATATAATCATGAATGAGTAATTGTTTTTTACAGGGAGCAATGTAATTTTAATAAACAAATTTGGGTTGTTGTGAGAAATACCTTTGATGCCAATGTGGAGGACTGTCAGGGTTTCTTTTAGTCATTTTTAAGAAAGGGCCTTGAAGGAACTGTTCAGTGTCCCTTGGAATATTCACTGATGTTCCTCAGGAATAATATCAAGTTCTAGGCGTGGAGTAGGGCCCAATTTCTTCAAATGCTCAATAATAAAAATGTGTTCAGTTCCCTGAGGAACAGCACTGCCCTTTTTTTCTGGAAGCTAGTTTTCCAAAAAAAATTTAAAATGGTCGCTCAAATACAACATGATCAATATTTAATATGTGTATGCAAAAGTTGTGCTATTTAATACAGTTATGGTGTCAGGGTTTTTTTGTCATGGGATTTCTTACTTTAACAAATCTGGCTTTCTTGTGACTAATTATATTATTGAAATTAATCATCAAATGAACTGTGAACAAATTATTCAAAAAGAATTTTGTCAGGTAAACAACCTGTTGAATTTAGTCACATTTAATTGATAAAACTTGTTATTATTTTGAAATTGCTTTATTTCCTACCTCCCTTTCTACCTTCCCTATTCCTTTGTTTGTGTTCCATCCCCCTCATTTTTTCCCACTGCTTCCGCTCTTGCTAACTCCTGTATTCATTAATTTTGTTACAAATGTACTTACTTTTTCAACAAATTGAAAGGCAAGGAATTTATGAGCTGATAAGTATGACACAGTGTATTATTTCACAGTTCCTGAGGGTTAAGTTACACTTGAAATTTCTATGAGGATAAGTGGAAATGTGAAAGTAATGGTTAATCAGATTGCATCTTTATTAGATCTTCCATAAAATTTATCCTTAATTTTTTTGTATTGTCTGTTCAAAATGTACTGACACAAAACAAGAATTGCCTTGGAATGTTGTCTCTTTTTTTGTTGTAAGAAGGGCCTGGAAAAAATTGTGCTTCAGTATACCTTTTTTTTTTTTTTTGATGATTTTACTGCTTTCTTTTCACATTGTTGGAAACATACATGTAAGCTACTTCTCAGAGTCCAACACAACTTGATGTCTTTCTAACATTCCATCGATCAATTTACTGCTCACAGCTGCTTCTACAGCTATGCCTGGTTCACGAGAACATCCAATCACTTTGAACGATGCTGAGGGCCAACAGGGTGGGAGTAACACTGTTACCCAGGCAACGGTGCAGAACCCAGTGAGGCATGTGAGGCCTGCAAGGGAACCTCGTGGCCGTCAGGTTCAAGAGCATCGTCCAGCAGTTCAGCAACGAAACAACTATGGTAACCATAGGTATTATGAGAACAGGTATCATGGTAATAATGGTGGCGGATATCGTTATGGTAGTGATGATTATGAACGGCAGCCTTACCAGCATAATTACATGCATGGTCTTCCTGGGACGTATTATCCAGGTTATGGCCATTGCCATTTGTGTGGTAAGTATTTTTGTGAAGCACATTGCTGACACCCAATTTTTGCTTATGAATATTTTTACTAAAGTTGTTTATTAGAAGCAGCACCAAATTTTTATCAGTCCTAAGCAGCAGACAGCACTTTCTATTAGTTTACTGGCATAGCAACCCTCTCTGAGGATGTTGGGAGAACACAAGAAAAATTTTTAACTAAGGAGCCAACACATCCAACATCCCAAGTGGATTATTATGCCAGTAAACTGATGGAAAGGGCTGTCTTTTGCTTTTGTAAAATAACTAGGTTTTTTCAGTGCAGTAATGATAGGCTTTTGACCAGTTAGGACACTCGCAGTATCTCTACATCAGTTGTTTTATACCTTGCAGTCATGTTAAGTCTCTAAACAGGCTATCTTTTGAAAGGACTTTCAGATACCTTTCCAAGTTAGCATATAACCTCTGACTCCCAGAGACAAACATTCTTGTCAGTGGGTTCTGACCTTGAACTTATCTGGTTTTACTAAACTCTTTTCAAAACATTTGTCTTCTCTGTGCTTATAGTAGCAACTAACTGAAGCCTAACCACCTCTTTGACAATTTTTTTTTCTTGGCAAGTGTATTAATTTTGTGGAAGGGTATTGGTTTATTCCAGAGTGCAGAAAAAATATAAAATTACATAAAATTTGCATCAAATCAAATGGGGTGCAAAAGTCTCAAAAGCAGTCAGTTTTTTTCAGATTTGGTGACCCCCCCTCCCCCCCCCCCCCATCTTGGACCCCATTTCTTAAAAAATAGCTCCCTAGAATTATTGATGGGGGCTCATTTGCCTCTCATTGGCCAATTTTTAGAGTAAACCCTGGGGTGTATTTGGTCTCTTGAGTGCATCAAGATGGAAAAGGTAATCTTGCAAATTTGTCCTTGATAAGTCAATCTCCATATTTGATGAACAGACAAGTTCTTGTATTTTTCCCAAACAAGGGAACTTATTAGGTAGGGGGCATTGGGGTATATTAGAAACTGCAAAACCTGAGAAAAAAAATCATCCAAAACTATGTGAAGTAATTTTGGGAAAATAAATTTTGTCACCAGGAATGAGAGGACACTGGGCCCCTGGATGTCCACTCAGTCATTAAATGCAGCACTGGATAACTGAGCTGCTGTTCAGATTGGTGGCCACTACTGAACCTTGGTGTACAGATGTAAAAAACTCACTTTAATGAATGAATTTACAAGGATAATACCTAACTAAGAAACTATGTAAGGCAAATGCTTTGATTGAATTTCTGTACTGGATGGAAATGTCTTTTGATGCTTCAGTTTCCGCACCATTCTTGTTGCAGCTTTCATCTCCTTATTTGGAAAAAAAGGAAACTGCCTACAGTAGATTATAAGTAATATCACCTTTTTCTTATTAGAGTGTGATTCCGTACGATATTGTTAATGATTGAAAGAATTGAGAAAGTGTTTAAGACAATACGGTAATTATTCCCTTTTGTACAATGTTTGTACCTGTTGGTAAAGTTAAAAGCTCTCTCCTGCTGATAATTTTAATTTATTGTAACTCGAAAAACTACTGACATTGACATTCCATACTGAACCAAGTGCACCTAAAAGTGAACTTACTTTCAGGAACTTATGAAAAAGCCAGCTAAAATTTTGTGTAAAAGACCCCCCCCCCCCCTTTTAACAGGGTGTGGTCACCACCAGAGGTAGGTAATCAAACAGGGGAATTGAGGTGCAGACATCAGGCCAAGTTACTTGATCAAATCTCATTCAGCTCAAAGGCCAATTCTGTCAACTGTTTCTTATTGCTGCCCCTTTTTACTTCCTCCTTTCTTCCCTCTCAAGCAAAAAAAAAAAAAACTTAAGAAAGAATAGAAAGGAATCTTTAAAGTAAATGTTACCATCTGGAAACAGCTGCATATTAGCTTGGCAGTTTTAGTACCCTACAAATCAACCCTTTCACTGAAAACCAAAAAGTGTTTTCAGATTTTGTAACTTGAAGTGTCCTTTTCCAGTTGTCTTTGTTACTGTATGAATTGTGTCTATATCCGAAGGTTGGGGTATATGTTAGTGCTGTAACATTTTTACCTTCAAAAATGGAATGAGAGCCTGACCTATGGTGGTTTGAATTGGGAGAGAAAAAACAATAACCTTACATTGAACTTACTGAGTGTATACGGTCCTTTCCTTAAAACAGAGAATGGTTTATAACGAAATACAATATATCTTTGCTTTGTAAATACACGTAACATTGGGAGGAAATAAAACTTGAGGTATTCAAATTTTGTTGGCTTCTTTTTCGATTGAAGAATGGTAACGAACGAGAAAATTAAGACTTCGCAATAGAATGATCTTGATGATAGTTTTTCTGACCAATTTTCAATCCGGCACACGTAGTTTACACTGTAAAACGCAAGTCATGTTTGGTAGGTGACTGGTCACATGCTTCTGTTGTATAATTCTCTGTTTCAGTGGCTATATATATTTCAGCGATGTAAAACAAATTAGGGTAATGGAGTAAGAATAGAATCGATTTTGCGGCACGCGTTCATGTTCGAGGTGCATGTTGAAGCTGCAAATGACCGCAAATGCTTCCCATGTGGATGAACGCCGGCTGCGAGAGGTAAAATTCACGTGTCACGTAGGTAGGTCGTAGATGTTACCAGGAGTGACTGGTGATGGCAAGGAAAACAGAAACATGCAAACACATCTTTATTTGACAATGCAGGTTTATAGAAATTACATTGTCAACTGAAGATGTATGTTAATTATGTAATACTATGTGACTTTCTCTTTCGTGGGGGGGGGTCCTATCTCCTGCAGGGTTAGGGGCAGGAGACTTTAATTTCCCACGCACGAGATTGCTGTGTGATGGATGTCCTCCCCTGGGGTGGGATGGGTGGTTAGCAGGACCCCCGTTGATACTAGTGTTTACTACACTGAAGGGGCTATCCTGTATAACTATAGATGTCTACTCTACTCTTTATCAGTTCAAGGAAATTTACCGATTCTATTGAAGATACCGCTGTATATTTCTGTGTGTTCGCTGGTATCCTTTTTGTTTCTACTCGTCACATAACGCTATTTGAGTGTTGCGTGACGTGACCGAACAAGTGCTTCCCAGGAGACTAACCAATCAGGGGATTTCTTCCCGTGAGGCAGGCAGTACCAAACAGATGATCTTGGAAAAAGAACCTTAGCTTATTGATCATATCATCATAACTGCTTATGTCTTTTTCCTATTTTCCTGAATCTTTTAGTACTTTGATGAATAACCTACTGTCATCAGTGCTAGATTTGAAGCGTTTCGCATTTGTCAAACTCTGATTTGTTATCATTGTGTACCTGAGTGGTAAGACAAGGGATCTGGAATTTTACCAAGATCCGAATCGACAAAATGGTCAGTGCATATGAAGGAGAGCACTAATTTTATCATAGAATTTGGTTTGTTCCCGATTCAACTTGCAAGCAAAGGTTGTCCTAGAAAAAATACTATTTGTCCCATAGCCAACAAACTCACCCAATCAGTATCTTGTTTTGGTCGCCTCAGCACCATGCGTTGATTCACCACTTACAATCGGTGACGAAATTGTTCACACACTGACATTCTCAATCCTGTCATAACTACTCTAACCTTATTTCTTTTACCCCTGTTAAGTTAGCCTATTTGCCCCCTCCCCCCAAGAAAAACAAAATTGTATCGCGATATGAACCTCAACAGATAACATTGAATGGGAGATT